ACCTAATTTGCATAAATTAACCACTTTTTTTTATATAATTTTTTTATAATTAATCAATTTCTAGATGCTCCACAGATATCTTGTGTGCCACTGATCAACCTTCAATAAAAAAATAGGTACATACCGGTAGGTGCTTTTAGATAATCCACAGATCAAATTACTTCAGGGTTGAAATCCATGCATATTAATTACCTGTTATTAGTTTCATGTTTGTTTCTTAATATGCATAACTGTACTAAGTACTGTTGCAGATAGGGACATGCAACCAGTACGATAATTTCGTGGTCTGACAAGATATATGACCAAAATATTAAGTCATCATATATGGTCATCATTTCATAATTGTTAAACCATAGTTACTTGGAACCACCCTAATTATTTGCTCCATTAGAAGCACATATGCTTACTTAAAAATGAAAGACAAGTCTATGGTCAAACAAGACAACGCTTTATATGCAATGAGCATGTGCTTCTAATACTGTAAATACTTTATTTTAGCTGCATTTAATTTTCGCATAAAAGACTTTTTGGGGTGTTTTTGAATTTATTTTCACTAATTTTTGACGAGTTTCATATATAATATAGGAGAAAAGGTATATTTGCTGGATTTTATTTTCAATGAGTCATTCCTTCAGCGAAAATTAATTCCAAGCGAAAATATTTTACAGTATAGTTATAAATACAGGGTTCTTTATTTGTTTTTCATACCTCAAATACCTTTCATTACACAGGAGTTATTTCTAAGCTTTCTTTGATTTACCTATGTTAGCCACGTAAAGAAATCCACTAATTGTGGAATACATGGAACAAAGGATGTGTTTTTTGTTGAAGACACAAAGCTCAGTACTGGTACTACCCCTAGTAACTCTGATATAATTAAATTGTGCGAGCCTTTCTGAAAAGCCTTGAGCTAATTTGAGCGATGTGGATGGCTTATACATGTGAAGATGAAACAGCTCTGGCATTGCAAACATGCTCTTGTGAGGTATTGTGAGCAGCTCTGGGTAGTGTGGCGTGTCATTGCCAGTAGCGACCACCAGCGGGGGTCCACCTTTGATTGAAGAGGTCACAATTATTGGCAGTAAAATGGTTGAATGATCATCCCATAAGCATGTATACCAAAAGATTTTGATCAGTACAAGCAATTTACCCATAAAAGGTATGTAGTGGTACATAGCCCAGTGCAGTGCACACAATATACCCAAGAGGTATGTAGTGACACCCAGCCCAGTACACACAATGAACCCATACTAGGTATGCAGTGGTACCCAGCCCAGTACACACAATGAACCCATACTAGGTATGCAGTGGTACCCAGCCCAGTGCACACAATATACCCATAAAAGATATTCAGTTGTACCCAGTCCAGGGCACACACTAGACCCAAGAGTAGTGGCACCCAGCCCAGTACACACAATGAACCCATAAGAGATATTCAGTTGTATCCAGTCCAGGGCACACACTAGACCCAAGAGTAGTGGCACCTAGCACAATATACCCACACAGCCCAGTACAGACCTTTTACATTTAACACATACATGTAATTGAATAAATATTAACTGCTAATAATGTCATTTCAGAATTTTGTTTTATTTGCAAATGAAATAGACTGTATCAACATATCATAGACCCTTCGGCCTATTGTATGGTCTATGAACAAATACAGGAAAAATTTTTAAAATTGTTTTCCACAAAAACAGCGATAGTATTTGTTCCACTAGAGAAGATTATTGTAGAGAACTATTTTTATTTAAGCTAGACTTAATTTCAGTAAAATTGTCAACTCCATGCAGAAATATATTTTGACATCCACAAAACATATTGCAAACCTCTACAGAGATTTAGAATTATGTACAGCACTGTCTCAGAGAAGCATTTCAGAGTATATTTGCTGAACACCTTGAATAACGAGCAAGTTATCATATTGTGATTAAATCTAGATATCTCAAACACTGATTCTGCAGTGGTCACTATGGTGACTTTAGACTGCCAGGGTCAATACATTTGCTATTTTATAATACACATTGTTTTGCAGGATAGGTCTTGCAAAGATGCAGGGAATATATTGAAATACAAGTTCAATTATGTCTGCAATTCTAAATACCATATTTGCTCCATTGGTAGCGCATACACTTACGTAAATGACAGATTTGTGTCTGATCAAAATGAGTTATATTTTAATGATCTTGTATTCCTAGTATGCGATTTTCAGTTGTGTTCTTTCATCAAAGATGCGCTTATAACAGAGGAAATACAATATTGTGTTTTAGCCAACAATTTTTAAAAGTTCGTTGTCAATTTGTTTTCGTCTGTCAAACCTTTTCCCATGATGCAAGAGATCAGTGATACAAAGTTGCTTGCTCAATAAAAGTATGTATACACAGTATTTTCACATTCAACATTACATGAACTGTCATACAACAAGTAGCCAAGAATCTATGTGCTTAGATCAAGACCTTGGTGTGGATATTAACTTTGCAAATACATTCAAATACTATACAGTGGGCTGGTCGAATCTAATATAAAGCATGGAAAGTAAAATACTGGGGTGGGTATTCCCCATAATTACAATGAGACAATATTTGTGATGGTATTTTTTGCAAATTTATGACCAACAGCTAACCATAATTACATTTCTCGGACAATGAGTGTACACGTTTAAAACTGGTGTCTCGAGGAAAATAGACTCTAAATTATACAAACAGAAATATGCTATAAACATAACCTGGATACTGTTACAAGCAAGACAAAAAATAAAGCGAGAGGGTTGTCACCTGCGCGAATCAAGTCCTAAGCGATGATAACACACACACAAAAAATACAAAGGGTCATGGGTAGATGCTTGTTTGTAAACATTGACACGCTATGGCCATCTGACGAATGCACAGGTGACGACTCCCCCGCTTTAATATGCTAAATGTTTGGATTATTCTGAGCCCAGGCTTGCCTCTTTCCTATATACTGTGAACAGATTTAATTTACAGTAAAACTAACTTTCAAGAGTTAGGAAAGTGTTTGTAGCAATGAATATTTCACTGAGGTTCTTTAAGTCAGTAATATTGGGAACACAAGTTAAAAATTTATCTGCAATTATTCATTTATTTCTCATTAACTGAACAAGTTGTGAGAATTTAAGGACATGTTGCAAGAAGGTGATGAAAAAAAACTACAGATGCAGATAGGAAAACGTTTTTTGTATACCGATACTCAACTAATATCTCTTATCAAGGAATATCATGCGATTTAGTTTTGAAATAATTAAGATTTCATGCAAAATTATTGCGTGAATTGATGATGGTGGTCAATTATTGAATGTTGTGTTTGAATACTTTGAATTATATTTGATAGCAAGCATAACATTTCAAATTATAAGAATCCTTGCCAAACCACAAAATACGATATGCAAATTTTTAATTTTAATTTCAAGCACCATTGATAATGTTCCCAAGAACATTTCAATGCTGCAACAGAAATTGTTGGGAGATAGCAAATTTTCCTGATCACCTGAATTTGTTAACACCACCTGTAAACAATATCAATCCTACTGTACATTTTTTTTTAATTATATAGTGCATCCTGCTTATGTGAAAGACAGGTGTATGTCAAAAAATGGTCATAAATTAACGATTCACTCAGTACAAATTATGAAGATTAGGGTTTATGAGTGCTTATACATGATATACAAACCAATGGATGTACAATCTGCAGTTTGTGATAATGAGGAGGGTTTTACATAAAGTAGGGTGAAAATCATCTTGTACAACATTATGTTAAACAGTTCATGGTTACATATATAAATCAAGATAATATGGAATGCAATTAATTTGTAGCAATTCATGTACACAATAATATGATTGGATTTATTCAGTTGTAAGAACCAATTAGAGGTAGGTACACCATGAAAGAATAAATAAATGAGCATTTCTAGAAATTACGGAAAACAGAAGCACCGTTTTTTGTAATAACAGATTATTCTACCCTTGACAATCTTTATCTCTGATTTGGAAAATTAAAAAATATATCCTCAAGCAAGATTAAAAAAAAAAAGGGGGGGGGGTTTCACATTTGTTTTTTGTTTTAATTGATTGATACCATATTATTGAAGGGAATATGCTTGTAAGAAGACTGGCAATTTATAAAACTAGAGTGTAAGAATAAGTTTTATGCAACAAAACTGAAACAACTTCTAAAAATGAAATTACAAAGTTTACTGATTCTGGGTAGACTATAAATAATATCAGTCGAAAAGCATTATGGAAAATAAGTTTTAAAGTAGTATATTGATAATGCATTAGCAGCTGGAAGTCTCCACAGATGGCCAGAATGAATGGGGGGAAAAACACATTAGCAGGCGATGTGTTAAGTAAACCATTCCAGGAAGCAGTTCACCGATAATTTGTATGACACAAAATGAGGCACCATGATCTTACTAGCACACTATCACAAACTACTGTAGAATACTTTATTTTCGCTTGGAATTTATTTTCGCTATTTTCTTTGAAGGTATGTTTCAGTGAAATTAAAATCCAGCAAATACAATTTTTTCCTATGTCTCACATTCAACTCGTCAAAAATCAGTGAAAATAAATTTCATACAAAACACCCAAAAAGCTGTTGCAGCGAAAATAAAGTATTTCACAGTATACAAATTGCGGCACTTAGATCTGTTCATCATAGACAATTTTTGCCTGTTAAGAGTGGGGTTAAAATAATTATCTACATCAACTTTTGTGCTTTATCATCAATCTGAAAATTCCATTCAATTGCATATGATTTTATTGGTTGTATGTAAAAAAAACATGGCAAGTCGGTAGCCAGATGTTTTGGTTCTTTTGAAGGGACATTAAAATATGTATACACATGTAACTTGGATTTACAAAATGATATTAAAGTGTGGGTTTTATTTACAACAACATTTCAAATTTTGAACAATGATCTATCTTACCAAGTTACACATTTTTTTTTACAACCAATTTTTTTTTGGCTTTCTTTTTTTTTTGCTTTTATGAACAAAGGACATTTTAGTTTTTAATTTTTTACAACATGTGGTCCACTTTTTTTGTATTTTTGTATTTTTCTTTAGAAGGTACTTCAGATCAGTAACTTTTACTTCAATACCTGAAACAAAGGGAATTAAAAAATTAGTGGCAGATTACATTTCTACTATTCCTATCAGCCAGTGGACCAAAAACTAATTTGAACAAGTATAATACAAGTATTTCTGATACAGACTAGTTGATTTCAGGATATCACGTCATTTTAATGTAATCTAGAGTTGTTCTGTTTTTGCACTATGAATATGGAAAGCCTTATACACTTACCTGTAATAGTTTGGTTTAAACGGTCCTGCTTTGTTTAGACCTAAATATCTTGCTTGAGAATCTGCCAACTCTGTGAGATGTGCATCAAATGCTGGTAAATGTAATGATGCTACATATTCATCTAAAATCCAAAGAGAACGCAACCAATTAATTCTGGCCTTACTAAAAGTTAAGTATCATCTTAATGAATGTGAACAGACAAAGCAGTTGCTCAAATTGACTGAACTGCCACCAGATGGCGCTTTCTGATAACAAAATCCCATCACCTAAACTACTAGTCTCATTCCACCAATCAAATCTTGTGATTGGGTGCTGTTTTTCAACAAGTTTTATCTGAAGTGGAATGTATGAGGGCATACCTCAATGACTTGTTGAAGGTAGAAAGCTTGACAAATCTGTGTGATTTTACATCTATTTTGCAGAAGTTTGAGCTGGCCAACACAAGTTTTTCTGGCCAGAATGTTATTACAAATATGTGGTTTCAGCAAATTGAACCAAAATTTCACCATTACTCTTGTGTACTCTAATAGAAGCCACATTCCCTCTATTGCTTTGTACCATTTTAATAGAAGCTGATATGCAGATTTTACAGTAATAACCACATACAAACTGTACAAAAACATGTTGCCATGACATCAGTGGTATGCTTCAGGGCATCCTAGATTGATCCTGAACACAAGTAAAGAGATTTTTTGTCTGAAGATATAAATAAAGTCAAAATTATATTTTAGATATTTTAGACATGGCCAGGCCAAGTTATGAAAGCACAGTTAGTGTATCAGTATAGCGTATATAACATCTACAGATATATTTCAGTAGGATCCATTGGTAGTTAACATTATTTACACCTTACTGCATCATATCAGGTAAACATCACATGCTGCATGCATAGATGAATCAATGAGGGCATACCTCAATGACTTGTTGAAGGTAGAAAGCCTAACAAATCTGTGTGTTTTGTTTAAATCTTTTTTGCAGAAGTTTGAGCTGGCCAACACAAGTTTTTTCTGGCCATCATTTTATTACAAATATGTGGTTTCAACAAATTGAAATAATATTTTTATCTTTGTAATCTGTTTTTTTTTCTGACAAAATTCACCCGAATGCAAACATTGTCATCTATCAGCCCTAATAATCTGGTGATTGCCGATTGTTGTGGTCTGATGTATTCTTGGCATTTACTCCAAATGTATAAACATATAGGTAATACATTTAAATATCCAAATTTCAAATTTTAGTTTAGTGAATTTCGCAAGTCAGTGAAATTTTGAAAATTCCCTGTGGGTCTGACACTGAGTCACAGGGAATATCACAAAAATTATCTCCACAAACGGTATTAAATCATAAAATAGTGATAATTCCTAACAGTGAAAATAAATTAGTTTACAGAATTATAAACTACTTAGACACAAGACCTAAGTTAAATCTAATTTGGGCTGTTATTACAAATGCTAGAGTAATACTTACCCATTTTCTTTGGTAACAAGTAGACATCTTGTTTGTACCTTCCTCCAGGAGCATTAAAAAGTTCTATAAGGGCAAGGGCCTGTGTTGTGGAAGTGACAGATACTACAAAGGATGGTACGCTGGAACAACTGAGATTAACAAGCCGACCCTGCAATTTAAAAAAAAACAAGTCATTGTCAATGACATGTCCCCGTTCCGTTCATATTTGAGTGACATATACATTCAAAGCAGATCATGACCGAAATCTCAGACCACTTTCAGCCACCAGTTGGCCATTTCGAACTTGATCCGAAAAAAAAAATGACGTGCATCAAGGTCCTATTATGATTAATGTATGTACCAAATTTGAACAAAATCCGTCCATGCATAACTGATAACTGAAATCCGGGTTCGAAATGGTGAAAATGCATTTTCGGCTTTAAAGCGGCTGCCATTTGGCTATCGTTAATGAGATCATGAAACAAATGCACATACATATTTATGACATGATGTACCTTGTGTGTGTGAAGTTTGAACTCGATCAATCCAGGCATGTCTCAGATACGGATCCAGAACTGAATTCTTTAAAACAAAATGGCCGCCAGTCCAGGTCCGGAACGGTGAAAATGTGCAATTTTGATGCATTTTCGGCCTTAAAATGGCCGCTATTCGGCTATCATTAATCGGATCATGAAAAAAATGATGTGCATATGTCCCATATAATGTGTGATGTATGAGTGAAGTTTGAACTTAATCGGTCCATGCATGTTCGAGATACAGGTGATCACGGATGCACGGACACACGAACGCACACAGGGTAAAACATAAGTCCTCGTTTTCGGACTACGTCCGAACGGGGACTAACAACATCTAATCAGTGTTTGTTATTTGTGAAAATGGTTTTCCAGACAACAAGGCAGGGAGCTTTAAAAACTTGCCTGCCCTGTTTATGTTTTCAATATTTTCAATTCTTTCACTTCATTTCATTCAATGAGTGTCACTGCAGTAACTTTCATTCAAGTCAGAATTACATTACTTTACTTTACAGTATCATTGGTAATCATCCATTTGAATGCAGTTTTTCATGATTGGACAAGTTTTCCGTAATAGTTTGGTTTCATCAGTTACCTAATTGTCACATTTCACTTTTTGCTGGAGGCTCCATTCCTGAAAACCGACTCAACATTTTCAAAATACAGTGTGAAAAGACCAAGCAGAACAATATGTCAACTCCAGTTCTGAAAAGGTCTGGTCAACTGGAATTCTTGCATATTTTGAGCATTTGAATCACACATAGTGTGAGAGTTCGCTAAATCGTGCAAATGGCCGCATCAGACATGATTTTGACAAGAATTATACATCCATAGACATTTTGTGATTTTTGTAAAAAGTAATATTTTTGTCTGAAAATTGGTTTAATTTAGCAGAGCATTGAACATGATGCAAGATTTTTTGCCATCAACATACATATGAAAAGATGGAGCACTCACCTCAGCTAATAGCATGATTCGTTTCCCATCCGGCCAAATAATGTGATCAACCTGGGATCTAACTCTTTCCCACGTCAATTCTGGAGTACGTAAACTAGCCTACAATGCAATTAAGATCAGATATAAACAAATAAATTTTGTATTTTACATAATATGTTATAACATATCTGGTCCAAGTGACAATTACTCAGTTTGTGAGCAACAATGTACAATTCCATAAAATCTATATTAGAAGCAGAATTCCTAATAGAAGCTGCAGTAATAACACGAGATTAAAGATGTAAATAAAGTCAAAATTATATTTTAGATTTTTTAGACATGACCAGGCCAAGTTATGGAGGCACAGTTGGTGTATCAGTATAGCGTATATAACATCTACAGGTATATTTCAGTAGGATCCATTGGTAGTTAACATCATTTACACCTCACTCCATCATACATGCTGCATGCATAGATGAACCAAGCAATGAGAGCAATAGAACAGCTTAATTTGTTTAATTTGTTTACATGAAAACAAATTACTTGCAAAGAATTCACAGTTCATCATTCAATGATGACAATGCAAATTACAAGAAGTCGTTGTGATAATTCCATACATATAAACTGAAATGACTTACCACATCAATTTCTGTATTTGAATGGCCCATGTTGCAAACAATACAACCATTTTTCACTCTATCAAGATGCTGACGAGTTACAACATTCTTATTACCTAGGAGATAAAAATGATTTATCAGTGGTCTTTTATTAGTATTATTATCTATCTTATGCACCAAATATAACGTATGGTCAAGTGATTAAACTGTGAATTCATGAATCAGATCACTGAATGACAACTATGTTTACTCAAAGTTTAACAGTCTTGCTCATTTTCTTGTGTTTATGAAAGAAAGGTTATAATTTAAGAAGTGCCTCAAAGCAAATTGAATAATTATTATTACTGCCACACATCTATAGTTTGAAAGGTTTGGGTTCACGTTCGGCTAAGCGCCCATCTCTTTCAAAATGCCCCTAATTTAACTGTTTAATCATAAAACATGGTCTTTGATCATTGTTTAACTTTTCCAAATACTGGTAATCGTTTTTATGATCCAGCGTGGATATCGACCGCTGTGAATCTGTTGTGAATGCGAAGACTACGGTAATTATTCGACAATGACCTATTAAAGAAAGTGAAATGCAGTTAATACTTTATGCCATATTCAGTTTGCCTATCAAAAATTGCTAGTTACCAGTTTTTGAAATAAATCATGCAGTTTATTCGCCAAAATCAATTCCAACAGATCGTACACTGACATCGATAATTCACTTCCACATTGCATTTCAAGAAAGTCTGTGTAAATTTTCGAAGAATTGCATCAGTACAACACAGCATTCTAATTGGTTAATAAAAGACTTTGTTGCCAGTCAAATTGTGCAAGAAAACATCAAGGCAGAAAATGCTTTTCATCAAGAATTTGTGTGCGATCCAACACATTCGACAATAAAGATAATGAAGATTTTGACCTCGGCTGTGTTCAAACAGACTATTTTTAACCTTGTAAATTTGGGTGGTACGTAATTGATATTGTAATAGAATGTGCATATTTTTGGTGACCATTTCTGTTTCTTCATCGTAAAAGCCAATGACGATGCAACTAATTTTGTAATTTTGCCCCCCCCCCAAGTCATAATATCGTCCTCATTTGCTCTCTTTTCCGAAGGGGGTGTGTTTAGGACACTGGGCGCTAAGGCGGTTGAATACGGTAAACTAATAATATTTATATAGCACTAAATGTTTTCAGACATCAGTGTTTTACAGGCACTTTAATTCAAACAAAATACTCATGTGTAAAATTATAATAACTTACCAGTACATGTGATGATGACATCCATGTATTTAATGACCTCTTCAAGACGCACTACACGAAAACCTTCCATGCTGCAGAAAACAAGCAAGATTACATGTTGTTTATAACTGTTCTGTGAAAGTTAAGCACCACAATTGGTGTGGACACGCCATGTTTGATTCCATATCCCATGCACTGTATTCAACATCTGTACATTGTTTACGATAAATTTGAATATGTATTGCATCACAACTGTGAACCTTGAAAAATCATGATCACTGTAAAGAATCGGGATAGTTCCGTACAAAGTTAGCATTCACGTACAGCAAAACCTTCCATACAGAAAAGATGTTTTCAACTTATACAAAGCTTAGTTCAGAAAACTTAACAATTTGTATATTCATTTTCAATATTAGTGCTTTGGGAAGCAGCTTACCATGCCTGCAGGGCACAGATAGGATCTATCTCTGTGACATGCACGATGGCACCAAGTCCTTTTAATGCAGCACTGCAGCCTTTACCAACTTCTCCATAACCACACACAACCACATGTTTGCCTGCAAACATGACATCTGTGGTACGCTTCAGGGCATCCAGGATAGACTCTCGACATGAGTAAAGAGTATCAAATTTTGTCTACAGATAAAAAATTTCAATTATATTGTAGACAGTTTATACTTGGTAAGAGTTAACGCAACTGCTGAAAGCCTTCATGGCATCATCAGACGATATGTTAAAGCAGATAGCAGCATTTATAGTACATTGTATATGGCTAAAATAAGTTATGAAAGCACAGTTGGTGTATCAGTATAGCGTATATAACATCTACAGGTATATTTCAGTAGGATCCATTGGTAGTTAACATCATTTACACCTTTACCTTAACTGCATTATATGAGGTTATGGCCATACTAGATTAATTTTGTAACTCAAGTTCTTTGTATCACAGTAACTTTTATGAAGTTTTAAGTAAATTTACCACACTGCAATGCACTCTGACTGTGAAGATCAAACAGACTGAAGCTAACCATAGAATTCTGTAGTAATTATATTTTACCTTGGTAACTGAATCATTGACATTCATTGCAGGAATGGTGAGTTTACCGGTCTTCGACAGTTGATACAGTCTGTGTACACCAGTAACACTCTCTTCAACAATTCCCTTGATTTGTTTGAAAATAGATGGAAATTTCTTGAACATGAGGTGAGTAGCGTCACCACCGTCATCAAGAATCTGAAAAAATAAAAAAATAATTGATATTCTTAACATTGAACAACATTAGCATTGAGTATATGCAACTGTGCTGAATCACAATGTGTTCCTTGCATCTACTGTGAACTGTATTGAAAGGTTTTGTGAGTACCACTTCAAGTTTTTTCAGACCCCATGGGAAGATTGAGTTATTAATACATTTTACATATGCTGTATTGAACCATATATTGTGAAAATTAATTCTTTGATATGACTTTTTTTTCCCACTGGATTTTATTGAAAGACTGAATAATTATTCTAAATAAAAAACATGCAATGATATTGCAAATACGGACCATGTTTACCGTAATCCGCAGTTATCTGATTGTATAGAAAGGCAAAAGCTTTGGAAAAATGAACAAGCAGCCTGTCGGCTGAGATAGCTCCACTGTTAGCAATGCACATGGCAATTAAAGAACAGAATATATCATTAGAAAATGAACAAATCTGAGAGAGGTCCACATGTAGTACCTATATATGTAATATCAAAGCAAATGGACTTGAGGTTTTTAACAAAAAGTCAAAAATATCACTTTTTACCAAAAATGACAAAAATATTTACCAAAATTAGAGAATTAAAGATATCATTACAAAATGAACAAATCTGAGAGACGTCCACATGTAGTACCTATATATGTAATATCAATTCAATTGGACTTGTAGTTTTCAAGAAGAAGTCGAAAAAGTAAAACATTGACACGGACGACGACGACGACGGACAATCACTCATTTGATAAGCTCTGCTCGACAAAGTCGACAGCGGAGCTAAAAAAAGGTTTGGCAGTATGGGATGTATGCCGTTTTTGATCTGCCCTACATTACAACACTATGAAGATGAGATAAATTGCTATACATACCATATTTGCCTCAAAGCCATTAGAACAGATGCATTGTTCTATACACCACCAGAAGTCTTCCTCAGATTCTCCTTTCCATGCAAAAATGGCAAAACCTTGAACAGAAACATGAAATATCATTTAGAGTATTTGAGCTGAGTGTGAAATTTATTTAATGAGCATATATGCAATGCATTCGGGACAGAACATTCCTTTGAATGCAACAGGAATATTATCACAGTGGAAATAAACAAGTCATTGTCAATGACACGTCCCCGTTCCGTTCATATTTGAGTGACATAAACATTCAAAGCAGATCATGACCGAAATGCACCTGTATATGTACAACACATTGTACTAAATCTGAACGAAATTCATCCATGCATGACTGAGATCCGGTTCCGGAATTGTGAAAATATGTGATTTTGATGCATTTTCAGCCTTAAAATGGCCATCATTCAGCTATTGTTAAGCGGATCATGAAACAAATGCACATATCTCTTTGTGACATGATGTACCATGTGTGTGTGAAGTTTGAACTCGATCAATCCAGGCATGTCT